TCTCTCTCTCTCTCTCTCTCTCTCTCTCTCTCTCTCTCTCTCTCTCTCTCTCTCTCTCTCTCTCTCTCTCTCTCTCTATATATATATATATATATATATATATATATATATATATATACGTGTGCGTGTGTGTGAGTGCGTGCGCGCGCGTGTGTATACGTATGTGTGTGTGCGTGTGTGCGTTCGTGCGTGCGTGTGTGTGTACACTATGTTATTCCTATGGTTAAGACTGCTAAGCAGCTTACACACGGCTAGATTAGGACCATGTTTTGCCGGTTTGCATCACATGCATGTCATGCAGTCGATGACGTCGACAGAAAATCAAATGATGCTGAATCATATGCAGATTAGTTTGTTTTATTATTATTCCTTCTGCGATCGTATTAGCTGCTATACGAGCTCAGCGTGTTCTTGTAGTCGTAGATCGAAGGAGAATTCCCGCGTTCCTTAATTGCCAGTAAATGTGATTAGCGACGAACAGTGACGATCGATGCACGTTATTTGCGTCGCGTTTTCATAAATTTGCGCCGAGAGCCCGAGATGAAGAACGTCTAGCGTTTCCCTTGGAGCGAGCCAGTACAGCTCGATCTTCGAACCAGCGTGGGCACGCGAGTGCGTCATGCCGCTCGATTGCAGAAGAACAGCGCGGCAGCCGCATCTTTTCTGTTTTTTTCGCGCAACAATTTCCACGAACGATGCTTTCCATTTTAACGCCGAAAAAATTTCGTGCGGCGCAACGAAAGAAAATCAATGGAGGCGTCTTTGAATGAGCGTAGGAGATAAAGTAGCGAGTGCGATCGCTAGTGTCATCATCTGTTTCGTTGGTTGTGAACCCGTTGTTAGCTCTAACTATCTCCACCCATTAGCATGGTTGTGAACAATTACATCATAAAATACACTACTCATCAGTACTGTCCTTTCCCTGATAGAATCTAGAGCGAAATAAAGTGTCGTTCTGCTCGTTAGAAATCTCACGTCTGTGAGACCTATCCCGGGGTGCTTGGAGTGCAAGGCTTTCCGGGCTTTGAGTGGGTTTATTGTGCGTAAGATGGTACAGATGGTACAGGTGTACCTGTAAGGTGTAAATGAGGGCGTGTTAATTTCGTCATTGGTTCGATAACGGTACCCATACGGTATTATCAATAAAGTATTTCTGGGTGGTAGGTTATTCTTATATTAACCCCTTCTTTATTATTGTCTGCACTGCGCAAGAAATAATAATGTAGCGATAGTACATAGTAGCCATATAAAGTCAAACCTTAGCTAGCAAATATCTATAGAACGGTACCCGTCTATAAAGGATGGCTTTGGCGTTTCTATTAAGTGGCAGTCGTACAAAACACTGAAACCACATCTATAGAACGGACACCTACCTAAGAACGATACATTTGGCGGTTTCCCTTGAGTGACCACTGTATACAGGTTTAGCTGGGCATCGATATCTCGTTAATTGTATTGCAATCGTTTTTGGTTTCACTTTTGGTTTCTAGTCAAACCTTTCATTTCACTTTCAGTAATTGTTCCTCGACGTGATTTTCCATTTGAGAATTAGTCACTGCCCCCACCTCTTGTTCAATGTTTCATTTCATTTATTGTAGCCAAGGGTGAAGCGCGCTTGACTTTGATTTCTGGAAAAAGTGAACGTGGCATGTCGGTGTCGTAACACCGTACTCTCGGCCAAACTCATGATCCTTGGGCAACTTCGAATCAGTTGTTATTTTGTTGTGGTCCCTTTTTTGATGGCTAACGGGGTAATATTCCTTCACCAAAATTATCGAATATGCATGAAAACCCCGTGTTACCTCGTATAACACACACAGATACACACAGGCGTGCGCGCGCACACATTCAATGGAAATACCAAAGGTGTTCTTTATAGGCAGGTGTCCGTTTTATAGAGGTGGCCGCCGCTAACACATGTTTGACTGTATTTCCATATTCCATGATGCGGATATCTCCAAACATATAAAAATGTATATCGTTGACTAAAGTCTATGAAATGCGCCCGATCACATATGCATGCAACACAAAACTGAGCCATTTCAGATACTTTCTATGTTGATACATACATTGTATCATAATATAAGTACAATGGGAGAGTACAGTGTACCACATGACGTATTGCAAACTGATGGCAAATCTTTCTTTTCATTACAGAGGCGTTGAAGAGGTACGGGCACCGGTTAACGCCATACGAGCAAGGTGAAATACTAGACTACCCCGAGATATGGTACCTAGGCCTTGACTCGAAAAAGATACAAGGCACAAGCAATAATGCAAACCACGGCTTTGACGACGAAAACGGCTCTTACATTAAGGTGCGTATATCCTTTTTTTTTACAAATTAACCTATCATTTTTTATTGAGATCACCACGCCTCCGTTTAATATGCCGGTCAAGCTCGAGCAGCTTTTTACGCGCGGACGCCAAATTGTCGACTTTGTTACTAAGCATAGTTTTTCGAACGTCCCCATCGCAACGTTTGATTGGCTAGCGCTGCCTGTCAATAACTCCAGCCGCATAGGTCACCGGAGCTACAAAATACCTATTACGGTATCTATGACGACCGTCTGCCAATCTGACGAAGGTTCTTACTCATTAACGAAAGTTAGGCGGAAACAATTATCTAGTCGGCTTGGTCGCTCTCTCGCAGCCATGGGCTCGGGGCCATACGACCGTAGCAGCTCTACCTAGTGTACAGCTCTACCTAGTGTAAGCTGAGCAGTCGCGAACAGGTCGGATAGACCATAGATATATACAACACATGTGTTGTATATATCTATGGATAGATCTATTAACACCTTTCCCGTAATTCGCTCCAGCTCAAAGAACCGGTCACGATATAGTGCACGTATAGAGACGTCTAGTGTCGTAGGCTCGTCTGGTTAGTCGCTTAAACCATCGGGAAAACACAAGGTTTTAATTGAACAATAATTGTTGGATATCGCGAGGTTCTTTGGAATGCTCGACATGATAAATTTAGATGAGAAACTTGTTTTTTTTTAGTGTAGATTGTCAATTGTTTTTGTTTTTTAATTTTAACCCGATGATGACTACTCGAAGTCGAAACTAGTTGATCATCGCTAACTTCATAGTTCGATGACAGCTAGGAATAAACTCCTTAAATCCACATGTTTTAGTGCATGCAGTCGATCTGCATCCCGGGGAAACGGTTCAGACTGCCATTTCACACATGTACAAATTTCAATGTGTTCAGGCGACTGTTTCATCAACGCGTTGTCTTTTGTTTTCAATCATTCACGATGATTATAACGTTTTCTTAGCAATCATGTGTCTGTCTCTCTTGCAGGTGCTTAATGATCACGTAGCATACAGGTATGAGATCCTGGAAGTGATAGGCAAGGGCTCGTTTGGACAGGTGGTGCGAGCGTTCGACCACATGACTGGTGAGGAAGTGGCCATCAAAATGATACGCAACAAGAAAAGGTTCGTGCGCGCGTACGTTAGGCGGGGAACTCAAATATACTATTCTTTAAAGTGTACTTTTCTCTAAAATACCTTCTACGCAGTGAACGAAATACAAAACGTGTTCCCTTGTAGTTCTTCGTAGACGGTTATCGGATTTCCGTTCTATGGAGGTGTCCGCTAATACAGGTTTGATTGCATTATAATTAGGTCTTGATATAATCAAGAGTAGATAATAACACACTGTGTTATTATCTACTCTTGATATAATGGTGATAACAGGGCGTCGCCCACGTGAGATGGGATGGGGTTCTTTCTGCGGCGTGCTGTCTGTATGCACTATATGAAATTGGTTGGGTGAAAGTGGTTGGGTAAATAGTACAGCGATGAACTCCAGAGCAAACCATTTTAGATCTGTCTGTTCGTACGATGCGACATACAATTCGCCGCGATTTTCTCACTGTATTTGTTTACTGGGCGCGTGCCTGGTGTGAGCAAATTTACTCAAATGCCACGCGCCCATAACGGCCTGTGTCGTGATTCGGTAGCCATTGCAGCATATTTCAACTCTATCGCAACTAGCCTATAGCTGCATAGTTCTCTTTCACCATACAGTAGGTGATTCCCAATAATTGTGTTAAGTCGATCTCTTTGCTAACACTGAAGATGACTTGGTAGTACATCCTCTCATTTTTCCAGATTTCACCACCAGGCGGCCGTGGAAGTGAAGATACTGGATCTCCTGAGAAGGAAAGACAAGGAGAATATCTACAACATTATCCACATGAGTGATCATTTAGTATTCAGAAATCATCTATGTATCACATTTGAACTCATGGGGTGAGTGTTTGTTCAGTGGTACGATTAGTATGATTCAGATTAATTATTGACCCGGTTCATTATAACACAGTTACGCACGGCATACACACACGTGCGCGCGCGCACGCAAGCACGCTCACACGCGCGCGCAGAAACACATTCACACGCACGCACCCACGTACGCGCGCGCACACGCACAAGGATATATATATATATATATATTAATTATACTATAAATCAATATAGCAATTTGTATTAATTGTGGAAACATCAGTTGCATAATTTATTAATGTTTTGTCTATTTTAGGAGCAACTTGTATGAGGTGATCAAGAAGAACAATTTCCAGGGCTTTAGCCTGGCTTCTATACGCAGGATAGCTTTTTCCCTGCTCCAGTGCCTGCGTCTACTCTACCGTGAACGTATTATCCACTGTGATCTCAAACCTGTAAGTATATATATATATACGCAATTATTACGCATACACACACGAACAGAGAGAGAGAGAGAGAGAGAGAGAGAGAGAGAGAGAGAGAGAGAGAGAGAGAGAGAGAGAGAGAGAGAGAGAGAGAGAGAGAGAGAGAGAGATGAGAGAGAGAGAGAGAGAGAGAGAGAGAGAGAGAGGACACGAGGTAGATAGATAGGAAGATATGGAGGGTCAGAGAGGTGATATTCTGATATGACTTGTTAATCCTAGTGAGAATTACTGTCAGTGCCATAACGCGTAACTTAGGGGAATTTTTTTACTCAAGCTGGGCTAGGATTTAGGCTAGTATTTCATTTGGCAACGTTTCACAATTTTTACACTAGTATGAAACGCTCATTCACAAGGTTACCTATTGTCCATATAGGCATTTTAATTGTGTGCAAATTAACGTTTCTGCCATCATATTACGGAATAACAGACGCTGATCAAAGCCACACTTTTCTTAGATGTGACGCACTTCAAAGGCGCGGTAAATCTGAAACACGTCCACAAACACACATCTGCAAATTCACTTCCAAATGAGTGCCTCTAAAAGGAATATTGCACGGATCTACCATGCAATGATTTAACATAGAATTCCCATCCAAAAGCTCGCGTGAGAAATCGCTGGACATTGCAAATCATTAAATAGGCCTTTGTTAAACCACCTTCCCACACAGTTTTTTGAAGGAGTTTGTAAATGACGTGTAACAACAGGTGAACTTGGTTGCATTTTTGTAGGAAAACATTCTACTCAAGTCGAAGAGTTCAACGTCTATCAAAGTCATCGATTTTGGTTCCAGCTGCTATGACCATCTCAGAGGTAGGTTTTTAATATTATGCATGTATGTCGGCTATTTCCATTTTTATATGCTTTCAATATTATAAGGTAAAGGGTTGAAAGGTTAATATAGGTTTTATTTAGATTTGGCTCTCTAGAATTGGATTAAAACACGTATATAAACAGCATTATCCAGTTTTCCCTCTTCCATTATCATTTTTGGAAAATGAAACCCGACTGTTATTTTTTCACGACTGGTGCATTGTGTGATCTCCTCCCTCTCCCGCCCACACCAACACGCCGTAGATCGTGAGCCTGGACTATTCATTAGCCAATTTTAATTGCGTCTAGAAAATTAAAATATGAAACCGCGTAATGTAATTATGTAAAGCAGACTGGATTTGATTATTACACACACTGGCACACACGCCCGCACGCGCTCACCCACGCACGCCCTAACACACGCATATGTATATATATATATATATATGCATCAGGCAGTGAAATTTCCATTTGACATAGAATTTTGAGAACTTGATGAGATAGGGCTTGAAACGAATACTCTGATTGATTTTCTATTCTTTCACTATAAAAATTCAAGAATGATTAACATCGCATGATTACCCCTTTG